AGCTGAATAAAATGGTTAGAAAATGGATGGATTCTCTATACTTAATCAATAAATGAATAGCTGTATTCTCGATAGAGGGTGCGAATACTTGCCTTCACACTGTGGATGCACTAGATCTGTTGTGTGTCAAAGCACAAACACACAGGCTTGAGCTGCTGTTGACGTCACTCCTCTGAGCAGGACAACACAGCTCAGGATCTATATAACAAGACGAGTCAGGGGACACCTGAGCTCATGCTGTGACAGACTGAACTGCCTTCGTCCAGATGCTACAGTCTAGCAAAAACTTGTTTCCCTACAGCTGCAAGGACTCAGATCTAAACTAGTAAACTGATTCATCTGTTCTTTTTTTTTCTTTTCCCGTTTCCAACCTTTTTTATATGCCAGGGACCCGTGGAATCCATTTATATTTATATTCATATTGTGCAATACGATTTTTTTGTGATCTGGACTGTGAGTAACTTCTCACTGTACTGGTTGCATCGTCTGTGTTGCATTAGTATTATTGTATCATTCGTGACACTGTGGCTGTGTTAAGCTGCTGTTTCACTGCAATTTCCCTCAGGGGATCAAGAAAGTATCTATCCATCTCCCAGCGTGCAGACAACCCTGTCAGTGTTTGTTTTGCAGGGCCAGGACAAAGCCACTAGGGGGAGCTGTGCTCTTAAAGTGGTCCTGTCATCAACTGCAGAGACAGTCTATGTCCAGTATTTTTGCTGGCTCTTTATTAAGGATCTGCTGAACAGCTCTGCCACACAGCATTGGTTTTGAAGAGGGGAATTTATTGCATTCGGTTTTAAACATTAAAAACAAAAAAGGCAAATAAGCACAACGATGCTGTACAGTATGAGGAGCCAAAAGCTCACAACAGCATTCCCAAGGGGCGCCACAGCCCGGATCTCCTCCTGGGAATCGAAGGGATTTGAAAGTGAAGCAGAGACAGGCTGCTGGCAGCTCTCGTCGAGCCCCAGCGTCAGGAAGCCAGGAAGGAATGGATGACGTTCCGGTCATTTTCCGAGCTGGGAAGTCTCGGCAGGCTTCGGTTGCAGCTGAGAAGCAAGATGTACTGTACGTTGCGAGATGGACAGGCATCGCGACCAGCCGGTTGGAAAACGTTCAGTTTCTGTGGCGCAATATTAATAATAATAATAATTGCTTACACTTATATAGCGCCTTATATAAGCGCCACTCAAAGCGCTTTACAGGTCATGGGGATCCCTCCCCACCCCCAGCAGTGTGTACCCCCACCTGGATGAGGCGCCAGTCCGCTCCCCACACACCAGCTCTCAGTGGGGAGGAGAGCAGAGTGATGGAGCCAGTTCAGAGAGGGGGGTTATTAGGAGGCCATGATGGGTAAAGGCCAGGGGGGAAATTTGGCCAGGACACCGGGGTAACACCCCTACTCTTCTCGAGAAACGCCCTGGGATTTTTAATGACCACAGAGAGTCAGGACCTCGGTTTGACGTCTCATCCGAAGGACGGCGCCTGTTTACAGTCTAGTGTCCCCCGTCACTATACTGGGGCATCAGGACCCACACAGACCGCAGGGTGAGCGCCCCCTGCTGGCCCCACTAACACCTCTTCCAGCAGCAGCCTCAGCTTTCCCAGGAGTCTCCCCCTCCAGGTACTGGCCAGGCTCCCACCTGCTGAGTCTCCAGTGGGGCTGCCAGGGGTGAGCTGCAGGGCGATATGGCTGCTGGCGTTGACTGGTCTTCAAGGGGTATCACTCGGTTATTCGCCCCAGGCCCTGCACGCTGGCCGAGCCGTTTCGGCCGGGTGAGAGGGGCTCAGAGTTTTACACGGGGGGGGGGGGGTTTCGATAGGATCAGGGCCATGAGAGGCTCAGAGGGCTTTTCGGCTCGAGGTCTCCTGGATGCTTCCAAAGGGTTGTGGGGGAGGCTAGAGGTCAGTAGCCCCCACTCCATCCATCTCCCGCCCCCTTCAAGGGAGGGAAATAGCGGCTTCCGCCTTGGCGCAGAGCTCGTAGCCTTCGTCGTCCTTCTGGGCCAGAGCCTGGGGAGTGGGCAGGTAGAGGTTGCCCCCTCCTCCCCCTCCTCCTCCTCCTCCTCCTCCACCGGACTCGGGGCCTGCACCGTCCCGGTCGGCCTCCACCCCGGCCCCCCACCCCGCCGCCGCCGCCGCCTCCAGCCCCTGGTTGATGTAGTGGGCCTCCTCCTTGGCCGGCAGGGGGGGCAGGGCGGACAGCAGCCCGCGGAGACGCCCCCCCAGCTCGGCGAACCCGGGCCTCTGCGCCGGGTCTCTGTGCCAGCAGCTGAGCATCACCTCGTACCTGGAACGGGGGGGGGGGAGAGGGACACTGTCAGACGGCTGGCCCCCTCTCGCTGAGACAACTGGGGGAGACGGCACCTCGCCCCCTTCCCTGTCCCAAATACGCCCCCACCGGATCCCATTCCCATCGGGAAACACTGGATCCCAGCGGGAAGAGCAGCTCAATGCCAGCTTCATAACCCCTCACCGCAGCCTCAGCATCAGAGATGATGATGAGGATAATAATAATACTAATCTTTACACTTCTATAGCGCCTTTCTGGACCCTCCGCTCAGAGCTCTGTCCAGGTCATGGGGATCCACTCCACCACCACCAGTGTGTACCCCCACCTGGATGAGGCGCCAGTCCGCTCCCCACACCCCAGCTCTCAGTGGGGAGGAGAGCAGAGTGATGGAGCCAGTTCAGAGAGGGGGG